TTTTGTTCCCCCCCCCCCCCAGTATTTTTTAACCTCCGTTATGCTGCTCACCCACTCTTGGGTATCTACTGGTGCTTCCTTCTCTTTGGCCCTTCTCATGCATCTGCAGCTGATCTGAGGGAGCTGTAGCCTCTAGAGAGAGCAGCTCCTTTGCATGAAAACCAACAGCACTAACTCCAGTTTCAGCCCTTTGGGAACTTGCTGTCGAAAAGGAAGCGATGGGGAAGGGCTGAGTGTATTTGCATCCTCTGAAAAGATGCAATGCTTTCTAAAAAGCAGGCGTGTATCTCTTATCCCTCCAGCAGATGGCACCAAAGACAGCAACTCTGAGGATGGGGATTTCCAATTATGGGGAAAGTTCCCTCTTAGCCCAAAAATTTAAACATTAAACAAAATACTAGAAGTCTCACCATATCAACTGGACTGAAGTGTCTCTAAGCCCCCGAGACAGATCTCTAGAGGAATACTTTCACTGTATTATATGTGTAAGTCCCGTATGACGTGTTGGTGAAGGTATGCCATCTATGAATGTATGAATGTATGAAGGTAGGCCATCTGTGTATCCATTCATCCTATTTCTTTCTATATTTTTACATGGTCTGAGGTTTAAACTTTCTCATAGGCCCTCAGGAGCAGGTCCATATCCCCACAGAGAATGCAGCCATGTTGGCATGCCAGGGTTTTAAAACCAACCAGCAGACCCTTAAATCTTCTTGTTTAACCTCCTAGCCATCTGTTTTTTGCAGACAACCCCTCTTTGAGGGTTTGCTACAGAAACATTGTTCTTATTTAACAAGCTGCTTTCAGAAAGATCTATGCTAAAACGTAAACAAAAAACATCTTGTGGAACTTGAAAGAGTCCCCAGTTTATTATCACATGAGCTTTTCTGGATTGGTAGGCAGTGATTCTCTGGACTAACAGAAAACCACAAAATTAAAGGCTTTTCATCGGCAGAGGGAAGGAGAAACTTTCTCTCCTGCCAATGAACGGTTGTTTTTAGTTACCACCAATACCTTTGGCAGCTAGCCATGGCCAGTTAACTAGAGCCAATTAGTTGTGGCCACTGAAGTCCAAACAACGAAGCCAGTTTGGTGAGCTGGGAGGCCTGTGCCTTGAATACTAAAACACAGCATCAGGTTTATGAATGTGAATGTCTGACATTTGTTTTGGATTAAACTAGCGTTTTCCATTTGCTACTGTACAAAGAGGTTCCAGCCCAGCCCTTCTGGCCCTTGCCTAGCCCAGATTATTCTAACCACACCCCGCAGGCCCTGGATTTGTAAATTTCTCAAGTGAACAGCATGGGTTGATGGCTACCCAAGTATGCCTGCTGAATGCTCTCAAGGTCTGCACAATTTCAGGTTTCAGAATGCCAGGTCTGGCTCTCACCTCTGAGGAGAGGTGAGAGCCGTCTGCTCAATGGGTGTAGCCTAACTCAGTCTGCTCAATGGGTGTAGCCTAACTCAGTCTGCTCAATGGGTGTAGCCTAACTCAGTCTGCTCAATGGGTGTAGCCTAACTCAGTGTGCAGGGGTTGAACTCAGAGGTAGGGGATTGATGCTATGGAAGGCAATGCTCCACCACATCTGGAGGAGATATGGGTTCCTCACTTTTAGCCTGTGATATGGGGGGAGGGGATAGACTCGTCTCTTAGGCATGGTTCTTGAGAAAGAACAAGATGCATCTGTGAAGTGCTTTGGAAATGGCCAAAGAAGCTTTACCCTAAATGTGTAAGGCAAGCCCCATGTAGCTCGAAGAAGCATGGAGAAAGAAGCCGTTAAATGGATGTAGTGCTAAAACACTAGCCCAGAATTACAAGGAAAAAGAAATGTCAAGCGGAGGGAACTGCAAGAGAGGAAGGCTGAGTGTTTAAGAATTTGGTGGAAACCACACGAAGCCTTGCCAAGTACTTTACAGAACCCAAGAGAAGAAAGAGCACAAAGGGAGCAACGGTTGAAGAAGATGGAGCAGAAGGAGACCGCAAAGATACCTACAAAGGAAAAGAAGGCGTTCTCTCTCTACAAGCTTGCATTGTCAGGCCGATTGCTTGATATGAATGGCTGCAAACATGTTCAGCTCCAGGCCAGAAGGGTGAGATCACCCAGGCACAAAGGGAGTCACCCCAGCACAGAAAGAGAATGAAAAGGAAAAGGGTGGCAATTCTAACCTTCTGAGAGGCTCTAGGACCTTAAGCTATGTCTTCCTGCCACACCCCGTTCCCTCTAGATACCAGCAGCATTGCAATGACTCTGGCCATCCTGTTCAGTTGGCTTGGCCATCAAGCCTGGATGGGGAGCATCCGAATAATTTTTGTACCAGTTGCATCTTCAGTTACCTGGGAAGTCTTTGTTGCATTTCCAAACTGATAAGGGCCATCTCCCAGCCAGCTTCTCCTCTGCCATAACTATTCTCCAGAACTCCCATGTGCCACTATTTAAAAAATGTTACCGCCTATCTCTCACTTGTTCGGTTTTCGGTTAACATCTACCTGGTCCTTTGCTTGCAGCCCATGAGATTCTGAGTATCTCGTTCTGGTTGTACAGATCTGTACACACAAAGGTGAGCAAACTATTTCAGAGCAAGTGCCATGTTGGGCCTTTGAAATGGAGCCAGGAAAACAAGGGGGTGAGAGCAGAAGAAGAACCAGTGTTGATTTTCTTCAAATTAGCTTTCTCCATAGCACCCAAGAGTAGGACAAGTACCAGCAGCTGGAAGTTTTACAAAGGGAACTCCAAAATAAGGAGGAATTTCCTGACCATGAGCGCTATTAGGTAGTGGATCAGACTTCCTGGAGTCATGGGTACTCTGTCTTTGGAGGTTTTCAAGGAAAGGTTGGGCAGTCATTTGTCTGGGATGGTAGGAGGACTCCTGCCTTGGGCAGGGGCTGGACTAGAAAACCTTCAAGATCCTTTTCAACCCGATGATTCCAACCCTATGAAATGTATATTTCATTAAAATTAGATTTAATTAAATACACATCATATAGTTGATTACTCCCCGTGTGTGTGATATTTCTTTTCTTTCCTACCACATTAAAAATTACAATTGGATGACTACTTTTGCAGAAGCTTGGGGGGGACCACTTCCACAGTTTTGGAGGACCTTCAGAGGTCCTCCTTTAGAGGGACGTATGCCTAGGTAATCTGGGATGACTAGATTAAAAATGAGAGAATATTATTTGATGCAGTAGGAAACACAGCCTCTTTTGATTCATTCCCCTTGTCCAGATTTTTCCCATTCTTTCTTGCTTGAAGGCTGGCATGCCAGTAGACCTGATCAGTGACTCAAAGTTGGAAGGTTGGGTGGTCACAGGACAATAAAAACGACCCCTGTTACACTGGGAGATTTAAAACAGATTACCTGCTTGCTGGCTTAGGATATTAGAACTACATCTGGTGACTGTCGTGCCTTTTCCTCTTCACAATCGTGGAGAGCTGGTAGAGAACAGATTGTGTCCCCAAGCACTAGTGTTATTAGCCAACCAAACAAATTGCTGTGTTCCAGAGGGGAGAGGCAGGCAGTTGTGTCATGCATCTCTCCAGTTCCTATAAGAATTGCCAGCACCCCATTGGCAGACGTGAGGAATTCAAGAGAAAGACAGACCCATCTCAAAAACAATGCTCTTCTGTGCCACTACAAAGGGAGCCTTTGACAAGCTCTCATATGATGTGATATCATAGTGCCATTTTTGGGGCTCTTCCCAAGCTGTCAAGTCTAGGCGGCTCAGCTCTTCCAGCCCTGCAGCCCAGATTCCAACCTTATGTCACTTTGTGTCCTTCAAAAGTTGCAAATGGGAACTGGCCGGAGTTGGGAAAACCACAGCCTTGAGGCAGAAAAAGAGAGTGCTCCGCGGTGCCAGCTCCAAGTCTGGTGAGGATTAAGTAGGAACCTCCCTGGGGCCCTCTTCCCCCAGGCGATGAAACCTATACACTTCGGGGAGATGCTCCTTCTTCTTGGTGCAAACCTCACAACGTGCAGGAAATGCCAGAGGGTTCTCTGCGTAGATATTAGTGCAGGGATGAGAAGATGGAATCTGGTGGAATTAGCAGTGGAGATCCTGTACAAACAGAATCTATCGTAGTGTTGGCACCATACAATGGGAAGACAGATGGAGGGACACCATAAAGTTCTGGCCTGCCATCTTTCACGCCCCCAGGCGTCTGACGTAACCAAGGATCAGGACTACAAAGAGCACCTAATTGTCTTTAGGGGTGTGGCAGCGTTCAAGTTGAGGCCCAGCAAATGCTCCCTTGCCCCACGGCTGGGTGTTCTGCAAAAGCATTCACCCCATCGCAGTCAAGAGAAGCAATCTGGATTTCAACCCAGAGGGCACTTTTCCATTGCTAGCTCTCTAAAGGGCTTTTGGTTCCCCAATCCCTGCAGCAGCAGAATCTTGGAAGATTCTGTTGTACCACATCAGTGAGTTTCTAGGATTCTTACTTTGAGCACTGGAGCTTCAGGGTGAAAAAGAGGAAGGATATGAGTTGCAGAGAGAAACAAAGCAAACAGCAACAAACCTGCCTAAAATTAAGGGCAGGAAAATTTGGCAAGAAGTGGGCACACGCTTTCCCAGCTGCATAGTAACTCTCCTGGATTTCTAAACTGCTAGCAGCTGTGGCTGCAATGCGATGTTCTGGCTGGCAGCAGTGAAAGAGTGAAGCAGAGGCTGTGGGTGAGGGCCAGACAGGCAACCCGCGTTTCTTTGTTGGCTTGGACAACAGGACTGATGGACATGGGGAGCCTCTATTTCCTCCTCTGAAGCTGACAGGACTTATACCACCTGCAACCCTTGCCACCCAACTCTCCCGTTGCTCTTAGAAGCGTTGGTTACAACCCTGATCATTCCCCCAAAATAAAGCTTGCTTGGAAGAAGTTTCAATTTAATGCCACTAAATTGAGGGCGTGCCCTGCCTCATGAGCACCCCTCTGCTGTTAGTTTTGAGGGAGCAGCAGTGCCCCTTGTCTATTGTCCCCATGCCAGGCATTGCTCACACTGCTGGCACTGCCTTGCAAGCCCATTGGCTGTCAAGCGATTGCAATGGTGTCCATGGTTTTTAACCCACCATGCTTTGGAAATGAAGCACTGCATGTTAGGAAAAGACAGTGGAGTAGCCCGTTTCAGTGCCCAAGGAGAAAGAGGTTCATAGTGGCACCCAGCCCAGGATCCCCACCTTTCTAAACCAGCTCTTAATACAGCAGATTTAGCTAGGGACGATGAGAGTGAGGCATAAGAAAATGGATGGAAGAAAATAACCCAACCTCCTCTCTGAATTCTAGAAATCAGGGTGGCTAAAAAACCTCTAGAATTCCATGCCACAAGGTATAGTGATGGTCCTTAACACAAATTACTTTTTTAAAGAGAGTACTGTATCAACTACACAGAGAGGGGGTCTAGTCAGTCCACTGTCTCATATTCAGAAGTTGACTGCAATGCAATCATCTCTTAGCCAGGATGATTGCAGTCAACTTCTGAATATGAGCCATTGGACTGAGCAACGTTGGGATTTGGGCTGGCCTGGAGGTGGGCAGAAGCTTATGAGGCTGAGGAACAGCCAAGTGAAAGCAATACCATTTAACTTCACTGGGTCGGAAAAACAGTCCATCTTTCATTTCATCCCAATACCTGCAATGGCATCCTGCAGCTCCTTGGTAATGATGCCCAAGTCATCCACGTCAACAAAGTGGAGATGCTTCTCTGGCGGTTGGCTGGCAGCAGCTGAGAGCTCCAAGTAGTTCCCACGCCCCGTGCTGACAATGAAGACGGTAACCCCCATGTCCTTCAGAAGCTGCATCGGCTGGGAGATGTCGTCTGTGGAGAAGCCATCGGTCACCCACACCAGCACTTTGGGGACATTGGGACGGGCCCCCGCTTCTGCCGTGAAGAGCTTCTCCTTGGCAAAGGAAAGGGTTTTGCCAGTATTGGTGTCCCCCATCACCTGCTGGATGTTGCGAATAGCATGCTGGATGGCCCCAGTGGAGAGATGCCGGTCAAAGGGGAACTCCAAGATGGGCATGGTACTGATGTGGACAATGCCAGTCTGGACATCGTGAGGGCCAAAGGTAAAGGGGAGGAGCAGTTCAGCAATGAACTCTTTGATCCTGGAGAATTCGTAGTAGGAGACACTGCCAGAGCTGTCTAACAGGAAGAGGAGATCCCCCTCCAAATCAGGGAGGGTGGGTTGAAGACCTGGAAAACACATGGAAAAGAGCAGAGAGTGTCACATGATCAGGACATCAGTTTTTCTCCTCTCACCAGGAGGAGGGTGGCCTTCACATGTTTAAGACATAAGTCAAAATCCACTGGGACCCTAAAATCACACACTTCTAAAGAGTAAACCCCACTGAGATAAACCACACTTGGAAATTTTACCATTTTATGAAAGTCACTCAACAAATTGAGCTTGCTTCCGGATGACTTCAGAGACATGCTCTGCCATGCTCTGAGATTTTATTTCTCCCCCCCCTTTTTTTTTACTTTCCAGTCTAGCCTACAGCCTTTTTGGAGACCTCCCATCCACGTACTGAATTCTCTTGTCTTCCTTTCCCCCCTCTGTCCCCTTTTCCTTTCCTACCATGTCTTTTTAGGTCCTAAACTTGCAAGCAGCAGGGACTTCTGGTTCTTATTATTGCCTGAGCTACTCTGGGGGCATTCCAGATGCTGAAACGAACAGTCCAATTAATCAATTTGCCTCTGCAGATGCAGACACAGATCTCTGGCAAGGCAAAATGCACCCCAAACGGGATAGCACCTCCCATTCGGCCAACTGGAATTTGTCCCACTTAACCTCTGGGCTCCCAAATCGTAGTCTGAGTTTTGGAGAACTCTTTGGTTTGGACCCTGGATGGGTGGCACCAACACTTCAGACCCATGCAGGTTTTACAAATTGCCAGCACAAGCTGCTTGCCACAGTGGAATCCTTCCCAGGAGCGCATGATGGAAATCAGATGTTCTGCAGCTACAGCATCTTTTCCCTCCTTGGAGAAACAGGCTCTCCTTCTTCTTTGGGCAATGCTGCCCTCCCCACTCATGGCACACCCTTGGACACTTGGCAAGAAATAAGGATGAATTTGTCACACACATCCCATGAGGCAACCCTTAAATCTCAACAGAGGTGCTTCTTCTCCATGTTCCATGTTAAAGCAGGGGTGGTTTCAAGCAAAGGGGAGAGATTTGTGCTGCCACTGAAAAATGAGATGGTGCTGAACCTGATTCTCCAGAAGCCAGCTGAAATGACAGGCGGTGCCCTTTATTCTGTCTGAATGCATCAGAGAAAAGGGGCTGCCTTGCTCCCCACCAACAAAGATTCTTTTTCCCGAAGAACCAGGGCAAAGAGCTTAGAGGATTCCTTGCAGAGATATGGTTGGAGTCATCAGTGGGCATCCCTGAAGAGCTTCTGGGCCCAGTAGCATGAATATCTGCTCTGAGTTAGGACCTGTACTCCTGCCCATCTACCTGAGCTCTTTGTGGCTTTTTTTTTGACATCAGTGTCCCATAGTGCCCTGGGATGTTAAGGACATTGTGGGAAATGTACATGGCTGGAGTCCCTCAATTATCAATTGAAGATCTTGCTCCGCTGGTGCCCTCAGAGTCCACAGACATTGGATATAAGAAATATTCAGGTAGCAGTAAATCACCAGCTCTGATGGAATATGTTTGCTCAAGATGTTTGCTCAAGATGTCTGGTGGGCGTCAGCTAAGCAGTGCCACCCCCATGGACCATGGAAAGGGATTGGCGAGGAGAGCATGGCCATGGAAAGAGAAAGGTGAAGTACTTGAGATGGGGTAGACAGAGCAAGCCTAACTTCCTGAGGACTAGCTCCTCTCAATCCTAGTTGAACACTTGAATCACTCTAGCATTTGCTGGTCAACGTGGAGAGAAGGATGTTCCTCCACTGTCTTTATCTGTGTGTATCTTTGAGAAGAAATACTGTAGGAATTGCCTGGAAGCAAAATCTCTCACATAAGCCAAGGGGGCCTCCAAATGACCTTGGACTGCAGTGCTCATCATCCCTGACAACTCTCCTAGCTGGGGCTGATGGGAGGTGGAATCCACCTCAAAGCCCCCCCTCCTTGTAGCAGAGTCAGAGAAGGCAGGCAGACATACAGCAGGACACAGCAAAACGAATGGCCGGGAATGGACAGGTTGAAATCTGTTCTCTTCCTCTTTTGCACTATGAAAGGAAAAGCAGGAATGACAAAAGGCGTCTTCAATCTTTGGCAGAAAACTTCCTGGTATGTTTTTACACACTGCCGGAGGCAAGAAATGTGCTGGGTAGGGCTCAGAACACCACTAGCCAGGAAGTAGCAGCCTGATGAAGTTTTCAGATGCCTCCAGGGGCAAGGCAGGTAAATGGGAGACATAGAAACGAGTGCATGGCCTCCCAACTCAGTTGGCCCCAGTTGAACTGAGAGCGATCCCCTTTATTAACAGTGGCACTTGCTCGGAAAGAGTAAGGCCATTGCACACAACCTAAATTAAGTTGCTAAAGATTGGGAGAATGAGAGGCAGGACAGGATCCGAAAGGAGGACTTCTGATGGATGGTGGGGAAGCCTGGCTGTACTCAGTAGCTCGGAGTTTCAAGGGGGAAGATGGTCCATCCCTTGTTTCTGGCTCTTCCTACTCCTAAATGTCATGCCAGCTCCCTCAGCCTGTTGCCCTCCAAGTTTCTGGGGTTGATGGTTAATAATCCCCAAACTTCTGGAGGGCACTAGTTGGAATAAGCTGTTTCACTCTTCGGAAACACACACACACACACACACACACTCTCACACACACACCGTATCTGATAGGATTGCTTTCTAGACTCGGGGATCTTCTCAGCTTCTTGGACACCTTCAGTCCTAGGTTCAAAAGAAGAGAAGCTGCAGTTCATCCCGTTTCGTGGGACCAGATTCTGAGAGAGAAAGTCAGGATGATAATTCCAGGTTCTGCCCTGTAGGATTATAGGCTTTAGGATTTGTAGTACAAATAATAACAACAACAAAAACAACTATGACTGTGATGACGATGACCAGATGAACGAAACAAATATTCTTTATGTGCATCCCTGGAAATTCACAGACGAGCTTGTTTACGAACAAGAGAACGCTCCTGATCCCCCAACAACAAGAACCAGATGGAGATGCCAGCAGTGTTATTCTTGATGTACTTACATAGCAACGGACTTAGATTAACTACCCCGAGAATGCACAGACGGGAGGGGAGGAATTGTGCTATGCAAACAGAAGGTTGGTCTAACGCTAGCTGTAAAGAAAACCTTTAAGCCTCAGTGGGACTGTAGCTTAGCTTACCTAGTTTTGTACCTGAAAGGGAGAGAGAGAATAAATCATAAAGAGCACTGCCAGGGAGAAGGGGGAAACATTTTACAAGTTAAAAACAAAAAAAGAGGAATGCTCTGTTCCATCCCTGTATTTGCTGAATTACACAGCATTTCTAGCCAGCTACATTGATTACTTTCTAGCGGGTGCACCTCAAAGGGAAAATAATGCTGTCGACTGTTTTTCATCACGTCGTCGGAACATTCATTGGAATGACGGGAAATCTAACTCCTAGGCCGGCTGTTTGTCAACTTCTGTTCCTGCTTTTCCTGCTAATCGCTCAAGGAGCGATTAATCTCAACAACAACCCTGTGAAGTTGGGCTGAGAATGGTGACTGGTTACCTAAGGCTCCTGAGCCTGATTTGATTCACTACACCATACTGTATAGGCACATAGTTGATCTCTGTCCCTGACCAGCAGATGACCCTCAGCTGTTTTCTGGTGTACCAAGAGTGTCCTCCAGTGTGATGAATGGAATTATGAAGGCCAGACTCAGGGAGAAAAACATTTTCTTTCATCTCCTGAGGCCCGAGGGAGAGATAAGAG